TTAAAAGAGTAATGTACTCATACCACCCATTTCACTTTGTTCTTTGATAAAAATTTCAAAGTATTGATATATAATTGTAACGGCAAGTAGAATACCAGTTCCAGAACCAATTGCACCTAAGAAATCTGCCAGTACCGAAAGAGCGCCAATGCAAAGACCACCAAATGCCGCTGCAGTTGGGATGTAGCGATTTAATTCGTGAATCAGAGACTTTTCTCTATGACCTTGCATTACCATTTGAGAATCCTTTAATTGCTTTGCAACCTTCAAATTGAATTAAACGTCCGGGTTGAAACGTGTAATTTTACTTTTGAATAAAATATTATATGAATACATACATCTTTAGCGGAGCTTCCGGAGATTTCAATCCAACTTTTTGAGAAGAATGCGCAGGATCCCAACATGAAAAGAATGTAGAGAACAGCGTGTACAGGATCCTGTACAATGTGCCCTACGGATTCAGGTGGGGAGAGATAATAGCATAGTCCACCGACGGGATAAGATCGAGCAGGGCCACCGCCACCAACATCCGACCAGACTCCAAGCAGGTTGACAATAATGTTACCATGAAATTTCACGGCCAACATTTGAGAAATGACGTACAAGTTAGAGACCAGCGCAGATTGCAGGATAATTGGAATGTTGCTCGTGTAAAAAAGTTTAATGGGATAGCTACTTTGTTGACCACGATACCTCGCTGACTTAATTGGTAAATCCACTCTGAATCCCTGAAAATTATAAAAATAATTTTTTCAATCATATTGTCATAAGTCGAAACGAAAGTTCCATGTTACAATTGTCCGGTAGAGCGTGTAAAGTAGGAAGTATTTTTTCAATTTTCTTTTGACACTACACAATATTAATTACAAGATTATAAAATTATTCGATTAAAACTGATTAGTGAATGTATATTTACCTGGAAATATATCACAATGGCAAATACCAAGATCGTGGCTAATAAATTCATTAAGTTTGGAAGATTTTGCCTATAAAATGCCTCCCGCAAAGCCCTAACTTTGTCTTGTCTCGTTGCTAAAAGATGAAACAAGGCAATGACTGCGCCCTCAAATTCCGTACCACGGCCTGTATTAACAGTAGTTGGAGAAAATGCTTTCCAAACAATAGTCTCGCAAATATTGGTAGCGATGAAAAGAGAAATACCACTTCCCAAACCATAGCCTTTTTGCAATAATTCATCCAATAGCAAGACAATCAGTCCTGCTACAAACAGTTGGATGATGATCAAGAGACATACTCCAGCTCCAATTTCAGCTGGGTCGCCATACATTCCTGTCATTACGTAGACAATTGCCTGTCCGACTGTGATGACCATTCCAAATACT